CCCAGGGAACGGCCGCCACTAACCCGTGAGGGGACGGCGCGCCTGGGCTGCGGTTGTTGGCCCTCGGGCAGGAAAGGCGGGAGGGCGAAGGGGGCTTGGGCTGGGACGGCCTGAGAGAGGACGCGGTGCGTGGCCGGAGGAGGGCACGGTTAGACCCAGGGGGGAAACCCGAGGGAAGACGCTCTCCGTGGGACGTGGGGAGAAAGAGGCTGGCGGCGCCCCAAGGCTGGCGCTCTCTTTGAGCCTCCGCCTCCTCCACTACCACCGCCGCACCGCTTGCTCCAGGGCAGGCGTTCGTGGCCCGACGGAGGGGGCTCTGGCGTGACTCTCCTCCGCAGAGACGGCGGAACCCGACGGCGCGGCCTCTCGCTCCTGGCGCTCGGGGTGGTCGCGATCGCTCGGCCAGCCTGCGGCCCAGAGTCTCGGGGAAAGAACAAGAGAGCAAGAGGCGGCCTTCCCCTTCCTACAGCATCGCAAGGAGCGAGAATGGGAAAAGCGGGGCGGGCGAGAGGCCTCTCCGTGGGCAGGAAGTGAGAATAAAGTCGGAAAGAACGGTTGCCGTTGGTTGAGTGCAGGGAAGACTGTAGCCCTGCCACCATTAAAAAAAAAGGGGGGGATGCGCTAATCCGAATAATAAATATTTCACTGCACCATGGCAACCAGTGGCACCGAAAAAGAAGAGGTTTGCTACATTTTTCTGCTCTGGATGCTGTCATCGCTTTCCATAGTTTCGGCAGCCCCTTCAGTGAAATTGGCAGTCAGGGTTGTCTGAGCTATTTTCCATCCTTCACGGGTTTTGCTGTTGTTTAGTCATTAAGTCCTGTCCGACTCTTTGTGACCCCATAGACCAGAGCATGCCAGGCCCTCCTGTCTTCCACTGCCTCTCGGAGTTGTGTCAAATTCATGCTGGTAGCCTCAATGACACTGTCCAGCCATCTCATCCTTGGTCGTCCCCTTCTCCTCTTGCCGTCGCACTTACCCAGCATCAGGGTCTTTTCCAGGGAGTCTTCTCTTCTCATGAGATGGCCAAAG